GGTGCTTTCTCATGGGGTTTAGCAAATGTTAGCTGGGACTGTTTGTCAGCTTTGGTGAATGTCTCATGGAAGAGCTCTCTGGTTCCCCAGGGGTTTGGGTTCCAGCACCCTCCTTTTCATCTCAGGCTCTCTGGAGCAGATTGTCAAGGTGTAGAGGAACTCAGGTTTGTCTTGAACGTTTCTTCTAAGTTGCACCTTTGCATCCTTGAGAAGATCTGGTCTGTTGTGGTCTGTCTTCTCCCATGAGGCCAGGTCACCAGCTGGTGAGGTCTGACACCTCCTGAGTGGGAGGGGGGGGTGTTTTCCTGGGCCAGTATCGAGCTCTGTGCTTGCTCCTTGTTCAGGGAACTCTCTGCTGGGTTCAGCTGCCTGGCTGGTCCAGAGTGCTCTGTGCACCACACCTGAGCCTGAATCTGGAAGGGTTGGGGTTCAGTTTTGAAGTGTGTGGCAATGGTCTCTCCTGGCTGGTGGCTCACAGGCTCCCTTGGATCCCTCCTGAGCTCCTGTGGGATGTTCCCTCCAGCACAGTGAGCTCTGGTGCTCCCTGCAGTTGTGGGCAGCAGCAAAGAGCTACCCCAGACCTACCTTCCTTTTCCTTTTGGCCAGTTCTCTTTGAAATGTTGAGGTTTGGCAGGTCCTGGCAAGGCTGTCCCTGCAGCCCTGGTGTGGAGAGCCAACAAGCCCTTGGTCAGCCCATCTGAAGTCCAATAGCACCGGAGAGAATCCTGAGGGAGGTGGCAGCAGGTCCTCACAGGCACGTAACCCTTTGTGGATGTGGTGGATAAACCATCCTGGTCTTAAGCAGGGGGATTTTGTGCCCAGTTTTGCTGATATTCACCCAGAGGAGCAGTAGTTTGGATCTCTGGCTGAGGACAGCTGAGCCTGGGCACCAGCCTGGAGATGATCTGATTGTGCTTTAGATTTCATGCCCTGAGAAGTCATGCTGTGGACACAGCAGCTGGTTTCCAGCAAGGATCCTGCTCTCAGCTGCTGTGCTTCCTGGGTGATGGTGGCACAGGGAGAGTCAAACAACATGTCTGAGGTCCCAGGGTAACTGACTGTGACGAGGATGCTCCTCCAGAAAATTCACACCCAGTAGAGCAGAGCAGGGAGCTTTGGCTGCCTGACAGAGCTGGGTTGAATGGTGAATAACCCTCTCCTCTGGGTTGAAGGACCAGCTTCTGGCCTGCTTTGCCAGCAGAGCAAAGCAAGAGCCTCTGATCCTCCTGGAAGGAGCAGTTTTTGGCAGCTGAAATTTGACAGCAGAAGGGTGGGGGAAACCTACTGCTGTGCCAGCAGCCTGGCTGTTCCTGGACACTGGGGCTGGAGATGCAAGGCTTGTGCTTGGAGAATCTGGAAAAGCTCAGGAAAATCCCTCAGGAAAGGACCAGGGCTTCCCTTTAGTCCTTGGGTTTCCAGCTGCTCCTTGTGCTGCTGTCCTGCAGGCATGGGTGCTCTTGCTGTCTTGCCCAGGACCAAGCTGATGGGTTGAGGAGGTGCTGCTGGGGTTAACTGGGAAGAGGAGGGGGTTTGTGGCTCCTGCTCAAGGGTTGCCAGGACATCCTCTCTCTCTAAAGGAGGCTGCAGCTCTGCTGGCTGCTTGTTCCTTCCCTCCTGGCTCTGGGGAGAGGCTGTGCAGGCTGGAGGCAGCAAATGTGCATGGGAAGAGGGAAAGGCTGAGGGGGAAGTTTGGCTCATCCCCAGGGAAAACCTCTTTTATTTTCTTCTGCTTAAAAACCAGGCAGAAGTAACCACTGATACTGCTTTTCCAGGAGGGATTTTTGCTTTCTTTTCAAGGTAAGAGCTGGGGGTTGTTTGTGGTGCTTTCAGGAGCAGGGGGAGCTGAGCCACATCCCTACCAGCTCTGTGGGAACTGGTGTCTGTGTGGGGAGGGCAGTGTCCCCAGTGTGCTTGGTGGCACGGGGGTCACACAGGGAACACCCTGCAGAGCAGGGTCAAGGTTGGGCTTTGGAGATGCTTTGGAAATGCCAGGGTAGCCATGGTCAGGATGTGGTTCTGTCCATTTCTCATCCCACCCTGCCTGGTTCAGTCTCTTCTTGCTCCCCCCAGAGCCCTTTTAAAAGGTCAGAAGACATTTTGCCAGCATCTGATCTGCCTTTGGGGCTCCTCCCTAGCATATTTGTATTTTAAGTTATGATTCAGTGATTGGCTGTTTGGATGTCTGCAGGTACAAGAAAGAGGCCTCTAAAAACATCCCACATTCTGCCAAAAACTGTAATTTTTCAATAATAACCTTATACATGATTATCTGAGAGAGACAGAATCTTCAGCCCCATCCCTGGCAGTGTTGAAGGGCAGGTTGGATGGGGCTTGGAGCAACCTGGGCTGGTGGGAGGTGTCCCTGCCCATGCAGGGGTTGGATCTAGATGATCTTTAAGGTCCCTTCCAACCCAAACCAGTCTGGGATGAAAATTGTGCAGCAGGAGCTTTTAAAGTGCCAACATCACTGAACATGGTCAAGTATGAGCAACTGCTGCTCCCTCAGTGCCTGCAGCCCCTGCTCCCAGAGGCAGGAAAGCTGCTTTTCCATGGGTTTCAGCTGCAGGAGGAGCAAGGCCAGCACAGATTGTGTTTCTGCTGGTGGGAGTGGATCTCAGCTGTGCTGGGAGGCTGCCTCAGAGCTGCATGGGACCAGTGAAGCACCAGCAGGGCTTGCATGTGAGTTGGGCTTGTCAGGCATCTGCTCAGGTTTGTCTCACCCTGTTTGTCCAGGGGGAAGCACATGGCTCCTGCCCAGGCAGGCAGTGGTAACAGACCAAACCTTTGGGTGTCCAGTGACTGTCCTCTCTGGGTGTTACCTGTTTTAGGGTGTGTTAGCACATGGTCACTAGGACCTGTTCCAGTGGTACCGTGTTCCCTGGTCCCAGCCCCTTGGGAACAGGAGTTACTCTCTGGTCTGGGGGCATCCAGAGACCTGCTTTTCTTTCTTCTCTTTGCCCAAAAGCTTCCTGAAAGGAGACCCTGGGTCAACCAGGGAGCTCAGAGCCAGCTGTAGGCAAGTGTAGATGGATCAAAGCTGTAGCTGGGGTGGGCCAGGCCCTCTCACTGTCTTTGGGATTGGGGTGGAGTCACGATTTCCTGGCTGGGTCTGTAACAACCTCCCTCCCTGGCAGGGCTAATGGGAGTGATGGGAATCAGAATCTTGTTTCTTGTTGCCTTTAGTAAAGCTCCAGCCTGTCCTGCACATGGGCTCCTCTGCAGGTGTGCTTTGGTGCCTCATGTCCACACTGAAACCAAGCCACCAATGAGCTCTGAGGTGGTAGGAGAGTGAAACATGGGAGAGACATTGGTGCCTCCATCAGATCTTGAACTTAAGCCTGGTGAACTTGGCTGAAATTATTTGTGAAGGTTTTATTCCCCTTCCCCAGGTGTTCAGCTGGTCTCTCAGTGTTGTTATTCCAGTAAGCCCTAGTGGGGATGCCATTTCTCCCTGTGTAGGAACAGCTCGTTTGGTCTAAGCTGCTTTCAGGACACAGAAATGGTTCATGTGGGACAGCTTTGTGTAGTGTGCTGTTGTGGGTGGCTGGAGATCCTGGGATGTCCACCCTGGGACAGGCCACCAGGCTCTGCATGATGTGAGGCCTCTGGGATGAGGTCCCACCAGACTCCAGGTCTGTGTCTCTGTCGTGGTGCCCTGGACAGGAGAAGTCTTTTCTTTTTTTGCAAGACAGAGGGAGCAGTCAGTCAACTTCTTGGAAAGCTGGTGGGTAAACCTAGAAGGGACCAGCATCAAGAGGCCTTTTCATGTCATTCTTGGGGTGAGGTTGTGATGCAAAACACTGCTCTGGTTTTGTTAAGGGGCTGGATCTTCAGAGCTCACCTGCCTGTGCCCAGGTACCGTCAACCTGCTCAGTGTCCTGGCGGAGCTCCATCCTGGAGGGGCAGCCTTGTGCCCCAAGGAGCTCTCTGACAGAAATGGGCTGGGGGTGGGGTTGTGCTTCTCACAACAAGATTAAAGAAAGCATGGGAGAAACAGCTTCTAAGAGGCTTAGAAGCAACAGGCTTTCTTTTCCTCCTGGAAGGGCACCCAGCCAATGTCTTGCTCTTTCCAGCTCTCTCTTAATGAGCAGAATGTTGCACTGAGTGGCTGAGTCTGCCAAGCAGGAGCAGAGCAGCTCTGCCCCCTCCAGTTCCCTTCACCCCCGGGCACCAGGTCCTCAGATCCTTTCCCCATCACCCTCGTGGCTGCCTCTCCCTGCTGGCCAAGGTGGCAGGACCAACTGCTCCTGAGTCCAGGGCTGTTGCTTCATCTGAGGGGTGTTTGTGGAGCACATGGCTGGGATTGCCTCTTGGTCTCTTGGCTCCCGAGTTTTCCTGCAGCTGCTTCGCTGCCAGGGGGTGAGGCTGGGGAGTGTTGGAAGGTGGGATGTGATGGGAACACATCTGAGGAGTAATGGCAGATCTGTCACATTAGAAAAGCTGTGGGCTCAGCTGGGCTGCCAGGACAGGGAAAGCTCCTTGGCAGGCCTGTGTGTCCCCAGGTAAGGACTTGGGGACACTCCAGCCAGGCTGGGCTCCCCTGGGAGCCCTGAAGGCACAGGAACAGGCAGGGCTGAGGCTCCTGGGTGTGCAAGGTGGGTTGGTTGGCTACTTTCAGAAGATAAAGTCCTCCTCTCCTTGACATCCCCAGCAAAGCTAGAAAGAGCAAGGCCCAATTTGTAGCTTTGTAGGTCACTGCAGGAGAGGGAGGGCTCTGCAGTGCTCCCAGGGCTTCCCTCTGCCTGGGAGTGCCCCAGGCCTCTGCCCTGCCTGCTGGGGTGGCCAGCTCTGCCCCTGGTCCTAGGGAGGAAGCTGGAGAGGAAGATGTTCCCCCAGCTCCCCTCCTCTTACAGTTCCAAGCTGTGTGTCTGCAACATACCCCACTGGGGACCTCCTGGGAGAAAGATTAGTCAGTAAATACCAGGCATCCTGGGGACACCCTGTCCCAGGCCAGGCTGTGCTCAGCTCCCTGGGGACCAGTGTTCTGCTCCACTGGCGTGATGGTGCTGAGGAGTGGGTAATGGTGATCAGGCATGGGTACTGGTGCTGCCCTATGATCAGGCATGGGTACTGGTGCTGCCCCATGATCAGGCATGAGTACTGGTGCTGCCCCATGACCAGGAAGGGGTACTGGTGCTCTGCTTAGCTTTCCTGCCACCTTGCAGGAGGCTGCTCGGAGGCCGGGAGTGTGAGCTGGGGGAAGAGGAGAGGGATGAAGAGCAGCCAAGCAGGCAGGTTGTGCCTTGCCAGGGCTGCAGGGCAGTGTCACCAGCTGCTCCCTGGGTGCTGACAGCAATGTCACCATGTCCCCTGCCCGTTGGCAGCCTTCCCAAGCACCAAGTGAACAGCCTTATGGATTTCTCAGTTCAGTCACGTCCTACCAGATAGAACAGAGCCAGAGTGAAGAGGGAAATCAGGTTTATTGTTGTTGTTGCCACTTCCTTGGTGTTCAGAGAGCGTTGATGGGGCTTTTCCATGTGCTGAGGACACCCAGCCTGGTGCCTGCCATGGAGGGGCACACGTGGGGAGGGTCCTGCCCAGAGCTGCTCTCCCCAGGCCCACGGCAGGGACAGGAGGGTTGGCAGAGCAGCCAAGGCTGTAGTGGTGGCTTCTCCCGTCACTCACTGTCCTTTCATACAGGTCTGGTGGGTGCAGCCACCTTCCAAACTACACTGCAGACCAGAAGTGTTGTTCTCAGCTCTGTCAAGACCTCTGAGCTCCTTGCTGCAAGGAGGACAAGGTAGGTTTTACCACAGCTAAAATGATGTATCCAGCTGTTAAAGTTGGTCTCACCTTCACTCAGTCAATGAGAGGATTATGGAACATGCTCCATGGCTTTGTGCCCTCCACCTCAGGGGTTGTGTTCAGGCTCAGGGGGTCCCTTGTCCCCTCAGGGTGTGTGTCAGTGCTGGGTGGAGCTGGGTTGCTGTGGACAACGTGAGGAGCTCTTCCCCAGCTTTGTTTCCATAATGCTGGAGCAGAGGCTCTTGGCAGAGCAGCTTCCAGAAATTCTTCTCTGTGAGGGTGGTGAGAGCCTGGCCCAGGTTGCCCAGGGAAGCTGTGGCTGCCCCATCCCTGGCAGTGTTCAAGGGCAGGTTGGATGGGGCTTGGAGCA